TTTTCATATGGTGTTTCATGTTTTTAGCTTCTCTTATTCGTTGCCATTAAGGTTCCCTTTTGAGCTGCTAATGAACAGAAGTGCTTATTGTGTTTTCTCAATATTGCCTTGTTAGTGTTTTAAAGTACATGTTTTACGTATTAGCTTGCATAATTGATAATACTAGCACTGATCTTTCTTTTTTATTTTCGTTTTAACTGATATATTGCAAGGAGCAAGTTAATATTCATTTCTTGGTATGACTAGACTCACTTCTTCTTCTTAGTTTTGTCTTTGGTTTAAGTTGATAATGAAGCTTGGTTACAAGCACAAAGGTAACATTTTAGGTGGGATCGCTTCGTGAGTAAGTACATGGAACGTTCTAAGGACGTTCTGGAGTTGAAATTGCTCTGTTACATTCAGAGAATTGCTAATGGAGAAAACTCTTCTCTTACTACTGAAATATTAGTCGATGTGTTCTCTTCCTTTCCTAAAGAAATGTATTTGCTTTCTGGTATTTTGCGAGTCAGGGACTTTCACTAGAGAGCCAAAGCTAATGCTAACCATTTCTTAGGATCTTGAATACCGCACTTTTCTCTACAATCTTTGGTTTCTTTTTGTGTTTGTTTCTTTTCTTGCAGTGATGTTTCCATGGCGCAGTTGATTGCATTCATGAATCCTGTCTTTGTTCATGAGGTGAATGATTCACTGTGAATCGCAATCAAGGGTAAGCATTCTTTGGTCATTTGATCATCTTTTGATGAGATGGCTTAATTGATCAGCACTGGACAATGTTACTTTTAAGCTAGGATCAGTGTTAGTACACCGAGTAACCTAGTATATTACCTTTCTTGTTGATACTCTTATCGAATCACGTCTTTTATTTTCTTGTGGATGCCAAATCATGGTGCAGTTCAATGCACATTTGAACAATTTGTTGCAGAAAACGAACTGCAGCTAGTGAGATCTCGAAGTACATGGACCAAAAACTCTTGCGCAAAGCCGACATGGTCCGTTTTTGTTAATCAAGATTGTTGATTGGAATAAGTGTACGAGTGTTAGTCTAGTATGACAGTGCATTAGAACAAG